AATTTTGTCAGATTAACATTTAGAGTATCTTTTCTGTGGTTAGTGACAAAACACTTCTACGTAGCATATATTTGCCTTAACAATTTACATCTTTATAATATATGGCTAAAATAAGATAGTATTTATTAGTCCGATACATTGGATATTTGGCATGCACTTTGATAGTTTAAAACTGCATAAACTGAACATTTTAGACTTAGCTTACAAATCTCTTTTGCATTTAGGTTTGTTATCCTATATGTAACAGTTTTAGACCTCATGTTTTAACTATCAAATCTTTCCTATAATTATCTTCCTGCTCTTTTTTCATTTTTCTGTTGGCTGCAATAGATTATTCTGCAAAATTTTCAGAAAGGTTCCTGGTTGATACATTTTCTTAATCCGTTGGAATCTGAGAATGTGTTCCAGTTGCCTTCATACCCAAATGCTAACTTGGCAGGGGATATAATTCTTGGTTCAGACTTGTTTTCCCTTTGTAGTGGATTGGTAACTGGTGGTCAACTTACACAACAGCCAAACTGAATCAGCGTGGTGCTGAGCGTGGATGGCCCACCTGAGGACTGTTGCCAGCCTGAAAAGGGGACCTGGAGAGGAAGAGTAGCATTGTGGGTTCTCCTACGTGTTGCTGTTTGGAGCCATTGGTTCTTGTGGAGGAACTTGTCATGCTGGCTCCCCTGATATGAACTCAGCTGTTGTCATCGTAGGAGCTCGGGACCTTGTTGCTGAATGGCTGGAGTTCACTTTGGGGGAGCTCTGGTCCTTGCCTTGAGCATTGCATCCTAGTTCTGGAGGGGAAGGTGTGTGCTGTTCAATCTCCAGAAGCTTGTCATGCTGGCTTCCTGTTAGGCTGTTCTCATCATTGGAGGAGTTCGGGACCTCACTGTCACTGAAGATGGCTGTGATACTTTTCAGGGAAGCACTGGTCCTTATTTTGAGCATCACTTCTTGGCTCCAGTACAGAAACTTTGGCCTGCTGGCACAGATCCTTCACCCCGCTGGCACAGACTTTCCTGCTTCCACCACTGACGTTTCAACCTTCCTAGCACAGATCCATGGAGTGGACTTGCATGGGTCATTGTTGTGAACATGCATTGTGTGAACAATGACCCATGCAAGTTATTGCCATGGGATCCAGACCCTTAGCTGGGCTTTGGAGGTCTTTAGTGTTGTAGATAGACTTCTTGCACTTTGTATTTGACTCCTCAGGTGACCATTATAAATAATGTAAGTTATGTACCCTGTATGTAATTGTTCTCCTTGCAGTCCCTGACTACACTACCTTTGAAGATAGTTCTATTGTCTTCTGGCATTTAGAATTACAAAAGAAAAATCTGAGGTTTAGTCTGACTTTTGCCCCTTTATAAGTGACCTGTTGTCTCTGTGTGAATATTTGCACAATTTTGTTCTTTATCCTTGAAATTTAAAAAGTCCTGTTTTTTTCTCATTAAAGTTTAAAGGTACCCTGTGAACCTTCTTCATTTTCAGGCCTACTTCATTCTTCAACTCTGGAAAGCTTTTTATCAATTAGTTCCTTTATTGTTTTAGCTTCATTTTGCCTCATTCTCTGTTTCAAGTATTCCTGTTACACATAATTTATATAATGCCCCTTCTACATCTTTTTCTCCCTTATTAATTTCTTTAGCTTTTTCTCTTTACATGCTATGAGAATTTCTTGTTTTATATTGACTTTAACGGTTTTATCATGTGGCCAACCCTGCTTATATGCTTCCTTCAAATGGAAGACCATGATCTCTTCCATGTGGTCATACCTACACGCTCTGCAATTAAGCTCACATGAGTAATGAACTCTCTTATAGGACATTCAGGTCTTTCCAGATGATTGCTCTACTTCGGTACATCAGTATCTATTGTGGTTTTTTGTTGTTGTTGTTGTTGTTTGTTTCTTGTACATCAGTATCAAGAAAAAAGTATTTTCTCAGTTTTCCCAATCAGGTCTCTCCTTTTCTTACATGCTGTGGTCTTGTGGCTTTTTCAATGGCTCTTTCCAATGGAACCCAAAAATATGGTCTTTCCAAGCACTGAAGTTGAAAGACCCTATTAATCTTCTCTAAGATGTAGCTATTACGAATTGTGTTGTTATCAACATGGGTAGGCATGTATCACTGTAATATGATGTCTTTCAGGAAGATACCTAGAAGGGGAATAACTGGATTGATTGAAATTTCTAGTTTTAGCCTTTTTGTTTTGTTTTTTGAGATAGGGTCTCAGTATAGTTTTAGCTTTTTGAGGAATATCCATACTGATTTCATAATACTTATACTAGTTTATATTCTCACCACCAGTGTAGAAGGGTTCCATTTTTCCTACAGCTTCTCTGTCCTGTATTTAATGGATTTATTGATAATAGTGATTCTTTCTGGACTAAGATGGAACCTCAGTGGGTTTTTTTTTAATGTGCATTTCTCTAAGTAGGAAAACTATTTGGGGCTCTATATGCTCACTTACCTGTATGTTTAATTCTTTCCCCATATTTGAAAGTTTTGTGTTGTTTCTATAAACAGGTTTTTTTTATGCCAATCATGCTATCTTCTAAGTTTTCACTTTCTCCAATTAATCTTAGTCTTTTTAATGTTACCTAACAGCTGTTGCATCCATTTTTATTAATGTTCTATTCTTTTTAAGGTATATCTGAGTATATGGTCACTGCATCAACCCTGTCTTCTAGTTCTGACACTTGTCCTTAAAACTTTATCATTTCTGTTGCCCATACATAAATAGAATTTTTAATCTTCTGGATTTCTGTTTGGTACCTTTTCAAAAACTCTAATTCCTTGCTAAACTGGTCACTCATATTTTATATCATTTTGTTTAGTTCAGTTGTTTACTAGTGTCTCCTATAAATTCAGTTTAAATCCATTACGTTTAGTTATATCTTCTTTGATCTTGACATCTTATCACATCAAATAATTTGGCTCTGAGACTTGATTCCCTTCCCATTAACACCCCATGTATTTGCTTTGGGAGAGCTGTGAGTTTTCGGAATCATTTATTGTCTTCTCAGATTGTTGTTGTTGTTGTTATTGTGTGTTCATGTGTATGTGCCTGTGTGATTTGTGGGTCAATTACAGCAGGAAGAGTTTGCTGCTAGTGTGGAGACCTATTTGGCTATTTGCCTTTCAGTGATATACTCCTGGTGTGTGCTACTGAAGCAAGTATAGAAGCAATGTTGTTGTCACCTCCAGAGAGCTGATATGTGTGGAATATGAGAGAAAACTCTAGACTAAAAATTCTGGGAGAATAAAAAACCCCACAAAAAAGGATAAAAATTCTATAAAAAGAAATATAATAAAAGTTCTAGGCTTCCCCCAGGGATGGTGGGTACACGCCTGTAATCCCAGCACTTGGGAGGCTGAGGCAGGAGCATCACCATAAGTTCAAGGCCAGCCTGAGTTACATAGTGAGTCCAAGGCCAGACCCTGTCTCAAAAAAAAAATTTTTTTTAGGCACAGGTTTATCACAGATTCTTAAGCTTTCACAATTCTCTAGGGGAACACTGGCCTCACTCCAATGTTGATATCCAACAGTCACTAAAGCAGCTTCCACCTTCTCTCCTCCAGCACACAGACACAGGGCTGTTCTAGAACCCTTGTTCAGATTTACTTGGGTTTCTAAAACTGTCCTACAGTTTGAAAAGCCCTCTGTGTATAACCAGATCCAGATCCTCATGTCTTCAAAAGGCTTCCCTTGGACTCCTCGGGCCAGTTTTAGGACCAGAAAATCCAGGCTTTCCTGAGTGACCTTCCTCAGCTACACGCCCCCAAACACAGGAACATGCCTGCTGGCACCCCCTTGCTCCCTTTCCTGTAGCACTGAAGGAGTAGGTGCCCTCTCCAAGGCCATCGCTTCCATCTTCATGCAACCCTTCCTCCCCCAGGTACATTTCTCCATCATCTGTTAATTCTCCTACCATTCATAAAACAGCATTAGGCAAGCCACTTGATTCTGATGTCTTAGTTCCCTCATTTGTAAAATGGATACAATAATATACCAGCTCATGTGATTATTGTGAGAGTTTAGCGATTTAAACTACAAACCTGGCACTGTTTGCATTATCTTATCCTTTGGGGGTCTTCTTTACTTGACAAAAATTTCTTATTGTCCTTGATTGCTGGTACTCAGCTCAGTGTCTGACACATAGATGGTTATTATTTAATGCAGAATGAATAAGTGAGCGAAAGGAAATGTTACAGAATCAGCTTACACAGTGGAGATGTTTGCTCCTCTAGTTCCACCAGTTGGACCATGTAGCTAAAAATAGATCCACCGTATCATCTCTACACCTGGCCGCACTACAGAGTAGATCAGACTAAGAATAGAAGCTGCTGAGCTTGATCAGGAGACTGATCTGGGGCATCCTGGTGCCTCTTTCAGACTCTGCGAGCCTCTAAAAGTCTGCTTCTAGTCACTTGTGTAGGGCCAACCCCACAGGAGAAAAAAGTGTTTTCTTTACCAACTCATAGCCAGAGTTTCACCAACATTTGAAGTTAGTTTTCAACAGATTCTGCTTTATGAAAACAAGTGTCCCTGGATTTAGAAGTGAAATAAATTTATTCAGCACTAACCGGATGCCAGAACTCAGGAGTTAGTTCATACCTAACAGAATAATCATGTATGAATCCATAAATGTAATCTATGACTACAATGAACAAATTTCCAATGGTCACAACGTCAATTACAGCTGAATACAAGGTAACCTCATTGTGACATTTGTAACCACTGATGCCCAAATTTTGTGGAAATTTGGTACAGAATTTAGTTTTGCAGAGGTCTGGTTTGGAGAGCTAGACCTACAACATGCAAGGAAAGCAATTTTTGGCCAATTACCTAACCTCTTTGTATCTTAATTTGAAATAGCAGTAATGCTAATGTCATGTTGTATTGTTACAGGTTGAGAGTGCACACAAAGTGTTTGTTATAAACAGCAGCTGTCACTGACCCCCCCTAATAAGTGACCTAACCTAGTCATTTCTCTTTCACAGGTGCAGTGCTGCCCCTGGCTTTGGGTTTGGCCATCACTGCTTTGCTCCTTTTCATGGTTGCCTGTCGACTACGACTGGTGAAACAGAAACTTAAGAAAGCCCGGCCCATTACATCTGAGGAATCTGACTACCTCATAAATGGGATGTATCTGTAGTAAACATAACTTACACAGCTTGGGGCAAGGACATGTTTTGCTTATGATTTAATTTATTCTTCTATGAAGTGCTGGTATTTATGACCTCTTTTTATTTTTAACTGGGCTAGATTTTTCAAATTGCAAACCTTTGTCTTTATTTATTGTAGATTTTCCTTAGGGAGTATGTGTAAAGGCTTGAAATTTATGGAGAAACTCATGTGATTAAAACCATCTGCCAATCTGCTTCTGATTTACTAAGCTGTCCCTGGAAACAGAAAGTTGTAGTTAGCTTAGATTAAAAAAAAAAAAAAAAAAAAAAAAAATACGTCAAGAGTTGGCCTTGGGATGATGGCACTTACTCCTCTCTTTTAAGGAGCTAACACTAAGGCCAGGGATTTAGCTCAACGGCGTAAGTGCCTGCCTTGTAATCGTGTGGTTGTGAGTTCAATCCCTGGTACCAAAAAAAAAAAACTAAAAAAAAAAAAGGCAACACGAGCCCTTGGCAGTGCTGGCCACTTTAGGCCAGCTTCCCTTTATTCAGTAGCCCTGTTTTCCAATGTTTTTCTGTTCTTTTCTCCTCCAAAACCTGTTTCTGACAATGGATCTCCAACGAGTGTATCCTTTCAATGAAATGTCACCTATGGTAGGTGTATATAAATTATAAGCCTCAACAGGCCAGTGATGCCTCAGGGGACAGGAATGTGGGTTCTTTCCAGTGCTTCTGATACCATGACATATAGTTCACTGCCTCAAGTTTATCTTTGGAGAAAATAAACAGATTTGGGGATAGGAACAGCACTGAAATAGTTACGAAGAAAGAAGGGGAGCAGAGAATGTGGTAAGCCAAAATTTTTAACGAAAACTTAGCTGAAGGAAAAGGAAGGACAGTTAACAGTTAAGGCTGGTGAACAGTGCTCCATGGTCCAGAGCAAGCAAGCAACTCATTTATGTAATCTTCAGATTTCAACATTATTCTTTAATAAAAAAGAAAAATTCAAATTCTACTGCAGAACCTCAAATGGATTTCTGCATACAGCTCTTATAAAAATGGTACCATGTTTAAGTATTGGCTGATTCTTCATACTAATGGGATCGGTCAAGATTTTTTCTAATACTTTTTAATGCTATAAAATGTTTTAACAGCCAGCTACTAGCACATACCTGAAATCTCAATACTGTGGGAGGTTGAGGCAGGAGGATCACAAGTTTGCATCTCACATAGCCAACTTAGTGAGACCCAGTCTCAAAATAAAGAGTTGGGGCTGTAGCTCAGTGGGAAGACCCTGTCTTTAATCCCCAGTATGCACAAAACAACAAAAGTTTTAATGTGCAATCATGTAATGCTAGGTTTATATATTTCCAGAGCAGTAAACAATTTTGAACAAATTCATCCTTAGTGAAATCTGACACGTAGCTTAGCATCTTCTCCCTTATAAATTTGTGGGCATTTAAAGGCAAATTATTCCCATTATAGCTTAAAGTCAGAGTGTAGACATTCTAGAAATTAGGAGGTATGTATAGTGTGGTGCCTGTCTACCCTTACATGTTGTTCCTATTTATATTCTCTTTTTACCATAAAGGGAAAAATTTTTAAACACTTGAAAAACTCTAAAAGTGTAGTAGTTTATTTTTAGATTGAAACTGAAGTAGGTGGTTAATTTGGGTTGGGAGGGTATAACATATCAACATTGACAACTGGACAGTTCTAGAAAACAATGAAATTGAGCATCTTTTCCCTGAGAAATTCTTGCTTTTTGTTTTTTAGAATTGAGCAGTGACTTAAATTTCTCAATGACAATTTACATAAAATCAAGGGTATGAATGAATTTAAGATGTTTGTACTCTTATGTGATACTTTGGAGCTTGTTTTTATAGAGAAGAATGTTACCTACAGCCACACCCAATAAAATAAAAACTGAGATGGCACACATCTTTCAGCACATCTTTTATACATAAAGACATTATTGCTGTGGGTTGAAATACTTGGGAAAAGTTGAACCTTGTGGATGTAAACAACATTCCTTTAATAAACTGTATTTTATGCTTAAACCTTTTTTAAAAATTTACTATAGTTTACTATAAACCTGTAAGTTACTGATGTTGACTAAGCTGTTACTATATTATTTGGATTTCATGACAACCCTACTTTTCAAAGGAGTATTGGAGAAATATATTGGAAGAGAATCAGTTTCTACAAAGTATACCAAAAGGATGAGGACTTTTGTGTGTGTGTGATGTTCTACGTAGATTGAACCCAGGGCCTTGCACACCCTAGATAAGCACGCTACCACTGAGCTACTTCTGATCTAGAACTATTAATAGCTATCTTACCTGTGATTACCTGACTGAAGGAATTCACATCTAAGGGAATGTGAAAATAATTTTAAAGGGAAATACATCCACAATTTTACCTCTCAAACATGTTCTTAACATCTTTTCTTAAAAAAAGGCCCAGAAACTATCTTCCTGAAAACTTGAAACTTACTATTTCCTTTCAACATTACGAACAGCCAACAGCTAATTCTTCCAAACCTTCCACAAAAACATTTCATTTTTTCCTGTCACCTGAGTACTAAATACAGCCTCTTCCATCGGAAAGAATTCCAAAAGAAGTTTTTCATTTTTCTCCCAGTAGCTTTTCAAACCCTGTGATTTGGCCCCACAGCTGCCTGTCATATTTACCAAAACCTCTTTGTCACCAATGGCTGTTCTTGTTCTTTCCTTTCCCGCAACAAAAACATACACATCCGTATTTCTGGTGTCCCTCAGTTTGGCTGTTCAAGGCAGACCTTAACTACTAAGAAGATTCCTCCTGTGTAACAGCACAGTGTGCTGTACCCTGCAACACAGGCAGTGCTCCCCTGCAGATGTTCCCTCAATAATGTAGCACGTTGATGCTGCCCCTTAACATGAGCATCTGGGCCTGTGCTGCTATAATTTGGAGTCACAGTTCAATTTTATCATCCTCAAACTAGTGCAAGTTTTGGTGTGCTTTCTTTTTGGACCACAGTACACCAATTTCTAGCAGAGTCCACTTTCTTCCTAGTCCAATCATTTGTTTCCTAGACTTCAAGCTTTCTACATTTTGGGGGCATAAAATTGAGACTTTCAAACAATTGCTTAAACTGAACAGAAAAAAGGAAAAGGCTCCGTTTGATGCTCATAAATGTACTCATATCATTGGCTTCTAAAGTACCTACCTGTCTTGTATACTTTCTAGCTGGCTCTCGGTCCCATTCTCTCAGTTCTTTTGTCCTCCCAGATTATAGGATTCTACAGATAAAAGGTAATTTCAGCTATAGCTACTGCAATGGCTAAACTCTTAGGAGAGTCTTTAGCTAAATGTGAAACCACAAGTTAAGTAAAAATAAACTTATACATCCCAAAGCTAACTTTTCAGGGATAGATAGAACTAAGCCACCTTCTACATTTGCTTTACATAGATCTAAATGTTTTTATTCCTAGATATTCTGAAATCATGTCACGACACTGCAAGTTAGAAAGATCAGCATACATTTTAATCTTTATAGACAGAACATAATATCTGTCCATAAAATTAAATTCAGGAAACTTAATGGGGGAGGGGATCTTGCTATGTAGTTCAGGCTGGGCTCGAAATTACTAGGCCTGGGTTGATCTCAAACTTGTGACAATTTTCCTGCCTCAGCCTCCTGAGTACTAGGATTACAGGCATGTGCCACCATACCCAGCTTCAAAGCAAGTTGTCTTGGGGGAGTTTTTTGGTACCAGGAATCAAACCTCAAACTTGCCAGGCAAGTGCTGTGCCCCTGAGCTACAACCCAGCCCAAAACAAGTTTTAATATAAAAATATTTATAGCAGGCTGGAGGTTTACTTCAGCAGCACAAGCACCTGCCTGGCAAGTGTGAGGTCATGAGTCAGAGCCCTGGTACCAAAAAAAAAAAAAAAAAATTATAGCAAAGCTTAGGAAAAACTGTGTTAAGTACAAAAGCTTTTTAAAAAGGTACTCCTACTATTTCATATGACTTAAAACCAAAAATTAGAAATAAATCAAAGAGTAGTCTTCTTAACATTTCTACAGATGAAATGAGAGATTTGGGGATCTCTAAATGTATTTATTACCTAAAGATTTGTATGCAAAGAAAGCAGAACTATAGCCTGCCTTAGAAATCTGTCACTGAGGATGGATGATGCAGCAATAGTTTTGACACACTGTAAAACCTCTAACTGTAACTTCCTGGAGTAATTTATCTAATGATACTGTCCAGCTCCTAATTGTTCTTTGGGGCCAAGACCCTACAGAAAGGCAAGCCTTTCTCCCCCAGCAAATATTCTTTGTACAACTAAAACCTACACACTAGTGTTTATATAGAAATTCTGCAGTCTCTGATCCATAATGCAATCTCTAGGCAAAATCCTAACAGGGTAATTACAGTGGGAGGAAAAAACAAAACCTAAATAATCAAATACCACTTGGCTCAGTGGTAAAGTCCTTGCCTAGCACCTGCAAGGCCTTGCTTTTAATCCCTAGTACTGCAAAATTTTAAAAAGTGATAGCAAAATAAATTATTTCTTAAGATATGATCCTTTAAGAGAAAAACTGCTTAAGGTATTAAAATTCAAATATAAATGTCCTCAGCTCCCCAAGCCCCTAGATCCTGCCCTCTTACACTGAAAATATCCTCACTAAAATGTCCTCAGTTGTGCCACGATCACCTTAACCTCAGGGGAAAACACTGTACTACTGGGACACCACTTAAACGAGAATGAATTCTTCAGCAGTCCTTGATTTTCTCTTCATGCTGAAAAAAAGACAAAAAACAGGAAGACAGGAAGGAAAACAGGGAGGCTGACAGACATCAAAGGCTCCAGTGAGTCACTGGCCCAGCATGCTAAACCATGTGCAAACTCAATGATATAACAGATATTACTGTTTTCTACCACACAAGGAGCCATTTCAAAGAGTTCTAGCCCAAACACAAAAATGCTAAAAAGACAAAACTTAACATGGGAACCAGCAAGTACTCCTAGCAGCAATACTATTAGAAGAATTAAGGATAAAGAAATTATTTGATTTGATTTTGTTATATATTACAGTATGCAAACACTAAGTTCCCTGAGCCAACAGTTTTCAAACAGGATGCTTCCACTGATACTCTCTCAGTATGGTAACAGAAATTTTATACAACTGAAATCCAATCAGAACTCATTTGTTGAACACAGCTCATTAAGAACACAGTAAGTTGGGCAGGGGATTTAGCTCAGCGGCATAAGCGCCTGCCTGGCAAGCACAAGGTTGTGAATTCAATCCCTGGTACCAAAAAAACAAAAAACAGTAAGTTGAAGAAAATTATTTATATGCCACAAGAATTTGGGAACTTAATGAAAATAAGTTATTGGCCCATGTTGAACATTTTTAAAAATCATCCATATTATTTGTTTATAATATTAGTACTCAAGTTACTATATTTATATGAGTTCTTTCAGCACCAAACTACTAGAAAATTTAACATTCAGCTGAAAACCAGCATCATCTGCCTCTCCAGTCAAAACAACAAACAAAACAAAAAACACAAAGTTATTCTGGCTGAAAATTACACACCAAGGATGGCTTTAAAGATTTCATGACTACTAGGGTATTACTAAAATAATTCTATTTTTAGAATCCAGAGAATTTTTAAGATGCTTTCATATAGATATATTGTAACCAATTTTAAAAGTTTAGCCGACTTTTTTTTGACCCTCAACCCCCTCCAACTTTTTTTTTTTTTTTTGAAAAATGGCAATTTTAAAAATGAGGCAATAGAATTTTAATAAAAATTTTTATATGGTCAATAGTAATACATTATTTTCCCCCAAGTGTCAGTTTCTACGTGATTGGCTGGGAAAGAGTTCAAACCCATAGTAGAAACTAGTATTCCCAATTAAAGAAACTAGTGTTCCCAATTCTTTTTAAATAAGAAGTTTTGATAAAAATTGTATTTGGCATTTAATAAGACCCACTTTACATAAAATATCTTCTGTCAACAAATCTCACTACACTGGAACTTTCTGAACTATTTTCAATGTTGCCCTTATTATGTAAAGGAATAAATTCCCTAAAGAAAAAATAAAACATTAGAACCTTTTAGAAATTATGAGTACTGCTGGGCATGGTGCCTCACACATGTAATCTCAACACTGAGGTGGCTGAAGCCGAGAAGATTGCTGCATGTTTGAGGCCAGCCTAGCCTACAAAGTGAGTTCAAAACAATCCTAACTGCAAAGTGAAATCTTGTCTCAAAAAAAACAGAGAAATTATGAATACTAAAGATTAATTCAATATTTCCTCACTTACAAAATTTAGTTTTTTTTAAAAAATGTTCTTAAGCTTAGTTAAAAATGCATTATTATGATCTTTACCCATCTGCAGTGTTCCCTAAAAATTTATCCTGTTTGTTAAACATCCTAAAATTCTAATTCATAAAAATGTAACATCTATCCAGCACTTGGGAGGTTGAGGCAAGAGGATTGCCATTAGTTCAAGGCAGAGTAAAACCATGTGTTTTTTAAAAAAAGTATAACCTCCAAAAGCAATGGCTGAAAAATGTTTGAAGTATACTATTTTTTTGTACCATTGGGTGACAGTTTATCTTATTATACCTAGTATAAGCTGTTTCCTCAGACTGTGGACTCCTTGAGAATGCTTTTTTCTAGCCCTAAAACCTATTATATACAATAAAGTGCTGGTAATAGCTCTGAAGGACCCAGACTAGTAGACAAGTTTAGAACTTACTTAATTTTAAATCTAAAGAACACATGACCTAAAAACAATTTGTTTTGATCTTTGTAAACACCTCAAATCACAAGAGTCCTAGGCACAGGGTTCATGGCTGGGATTCAGAAGCAATAAAAGCAAACTGAAATTGGCCATAAACTTACAATTCCTAAGTTTTAGGTACCAATAAAATGTCTAAGACATTACCCAAGAAAAGACACTTGTAAAAAGATGTATTCCTAATTTTTAAAAGCAATTTTCAAGGATATTTAAACATGAGGAAGGTTGTGTCACAAGCTCACTAAAGATCTC